AAATTAAAAAAAAAAAAAAAAAAAGAATCCTGCTCCCATTCAGTTGTGTTAACAGGTCCACCCTTCCTCCTCTATTCACAACTTCCGAGTGTGTGCTTTCCAGCTGAGCAATAGCACCCTCTCAGAGGGGATCACAGATACCCCAAGCCTCAGAGCTGTACCCCTCTCTCACTTATGGTTTAAAGCCCCCAGATGAGGACCTCCCAGGCAAACACAAGTCGGGAGAGTCCAGCAGAGACATACAGACAATACCACAAGGGAAGGGAACGTGGCCTACCGCATGCTTCTCCTTCAGGTCCATGAGCCCAGAGAACTGCAGGCATGCCCAGAGGAACGTGGTCACCCCCAAAAGGAAGGCTCCTCCCCAACATGTACAAACCCCAGTGGCTCTGCCACAGTCACAGCATCTGGGGAAAAAAGAGGAAAGAGATCCAATAAGTCCAGGTTGCTGGAACGGGCTATTGGGAAACACAACAGTACCATCTGAACAACAGAGTGGTGTGTGGAACAGAACTGGCCCCACTGACCACCAGGGCCCTGGCCGGCCCTGTGCTAGCGGCAGTCAGCTTTGGACGAATTCCACTCTCTGAGGCCAGGAGGGAGAGGGCTACGGAAGGGGTGCTGGAGGGCTGCAAGCTTTCCTCTTTTAACTCTAACATTCAGAGGCACATGTTTTGTTCCACACATACTCTTTAACTCACTGATTTCCAGCAGGCAGGAAAAGCCTTGGCTTATCAACCTTTTAAAAAGCAAAGGTTAGCATTAAGGTAAACTGGAATCTAGAGACAACTAGAACAATCAGGAGAGTGGTGGGGAGATGACAGAAAGTAGAGACATGCTCACTCTATTGCTGCCACCAGAAACACGGCATCCATCTATTTCCATTTGCTGGGAAATAGACCCCACATGCCAACACATACATGGCCACAGACAGCCGGGCCTCTGGTGCGGTTTGCCAACAAGGCAGTGCTCAACAGGCAACTGGGCAGATGTCCACAAGGATGGGTGACCCAATCTGACAACAATCTGGAAAATGACGATTGCCTTATCTCCCTACCCAACATCCCCCTCCCCACAAAACTCCTGACCCTAACTCATCCATCTTGGCAGCCAACATGCTTTAATGACTTCAGACCAGGACGTGTTTGGGTAAAGAGTGCCACTGAGTAATCTGGTTTGGTGCCAGGTGACTACTCGTGGAGAAAGCACTAACCTGCTGACTAGGGCAGTTCTTTTTAGGGCCTGCAGCAAAGTCTCATTAAGAAGCCCAGAAGAACTGATCCATAAAAGAGGTATCTAGAAACAACAAAAAAAAAGCTGTGTCTGGAGGACCCTAGCCAGGAGGCCGAGGCTCTGTAGTCACCAGCTCCACTCCAAAATCCCATCTGATTCCTCCCAAGGCAGCAAAAGTGCTGTCCCAGGCCTGTCCCGCCAAGTCTCTCCCTGCCCCTGCCTTTCCAGCCAGGGCTTTGAAGCTGAGCTAGCCCCAAAGGGTCAGAGACAGAGAGTGACGCTGAAGCAGCCTCGCACTGCAGTGACATTTGGTCTTTGGCAGCCAACTGAAACGGGATCCCGAGAGGCCAAATCCACTTCTCCCCAAGGCTGCTCTGATTCAGGCTGCCCAGGGCCTGTTTACGAGTACAGCTCGAGGTCCCCATGACACCCCATCCCAGCAGGGGCTGGATAAGGTAGTCACCACACAGGGAAAGGCACCAGGAGCCACATGGGGATTGTGCTTAACTCTTTCTGCCAACACTACAAGAGTGAAATAACTCTGCGGCCAGCTGGAACCACAGCAGTTCACTGAGGGCAACCAGGAGCAGGACATTTTTCTAAGAGTCTCTGTTTTCCCATCACTCCACAAGTGGGATTCTGGGAGAGAGCTGTCTTTGACTGATCTGAAACCAGCAGCTGTATCCTTAAAGGGCCAGTTCTCCTGGCCCATTGTGAAAAAAAGCACAGGCTTCAAAGCCAAATACCCCCAGGTTCAAATCCTGGCTCCAACACGTATCAAGTGCCAAATGACCTTGGGAAATCACTTGTCTCTCTGAGCCTCAGGGGCTTTGTTCATAGAATGGAAATGACAATACCTACTGCACAGTAGTGCAACAGGAATTATGTAAAATATTACATGCGGAGGCTCTAGTACAGTATTTGGCACGTAGTAAGTCCTAATAAATAGCTGACATTACTATCATCAGCAGACAAGAAATACAAAGGGCCCCCTAGGTCAGGAATGAGAACTCAAAACTAAGGAGAAGAAAAAACTGAAAGGCATGAAGATTGTAAAGAGATAAGTAAAACTGTCTTTATTGGCAAAAAGACCAGAGCATATATGTAGAAAACCCTAAGCAATCTACAAATAACATATTAGAACAAATAAGTGTGCAAGGTTGTAGGATACAAGGTCAAAATACAAATATAAATTAAACTTCTATATGCTATAATGAAATATATTTAAATAAAAAATTTTAGGGGCTGGCCCGGTGGCGCAAGCTGTTAAGTGCGCGCGCTCTGCTGTGGCGGCCCGGGGTTGGCCGGTTCGGATCCCGGGTGCGCACCGACGCACTGTTTGTCAGGCCATGCTGTGGTGGCATCCCACATAAAGTGGAGGAAGATGGGCACGGCTGTTAGCCAAGGGCCAGTCTTCCTCGGCAAAAAAAAAAAAAAAAAAAAGAGGAGGATTGGCAGATGTTAGCACAGGGCTGATCTCCTCACAAAAAAATAAATAAATAAAATAAAAATTAAAAAAAATTTTAAATATCACTTACAATAGTATGAAAAAAACCTATGAAATACTTAGGGATGACTCTAACAAAAATATATGTAAGATCTGTCACTGCTGAGAGAAATTAGAGAAGACTTAAACAAATGGAGAGATATACCATGTTCATGGATGGGAAGAATTTAATTATTTAATATTTAAATAATTAAATAATATTAATATTTATATCAATACATTTATTAGTATTAATATTAATATATATCCACTAGAATGACTAAAATGAAAAAGACTGACAATACCTAATGCTGGTGAGGATATGAACTCAAAGTGCTGGTGAGAATGTAACATGGTACAACCACTTTGAAAAACATTTTGGCAGTTTCTCATAAAGTTAAGTATACACTTACTATATGACCCAGGAACGAAAACATCTGTCCTCAAAAAGAATTGTTCATAGCAGCTTTATTCAAAATAGCCCAAAACTAGAGACAATCCAATGTCCATTCACAGGTGAACGGATAAACTGGTATATCCATACAAAACAGAATGAAGTACTGATACACACAACAACATAGCTGAATCGCAAATACATTTGCTGAATGAAAGGACCCAGACACAAAAGAGTACTTAATGTATGATTCCATTTACATAAAATTCTGAACAGGCAAAACTAATCCATAGTGACAGTAAGCAGATCAGGAGTTGCCTGGGGCAGGGGGAGGGGTTGACTGCAAAGGGCACAGGGATCCCTTGTTCAATATCCTAATTGTGGGTGGTGGTTACAGGGGTATTCACATTTGTCAAAATTCTTTGAACTATATACTTAAATAGGTCCATTGTATTGTGTGTAAATATTGCCTCAATCGACTTGATTTTAAAAAGTAAGGTGGGATCGGAGATCCAACTAATTCAGCTCAACCAAGCTCTACACTGCCTAGCACATGCAGGATTGGGTGGATATAAAAGACAAGAGACAAAGAAGGAAAAAAACATTTATCAAGTGCCTACTGTGTGTAATAACTGTATATATTTAATAAGTGTAAGGAATGGTCCTGTTTTCAAAGAAGTATAAGATACAGTCCCTTCCCTAGAGGGATTGATAACATAGCCAGTTTGGGGCTATTATGAAAAAAGATAACTAAAATTCAAGTTGGTATTGAATGAGAATTGCAAACAGGTGCCTAGGAGTGAGAAGAGGGAGAGCAACCCAAGCAAGAACTAGAAGTCCCAACAAAGGCACCAAGGAAAAAATGCAGGAGCCTTTTTGAAAGACATGGATCTGACCTGTTTGGTTAGAGCTGAAGGCCTGACTGGGTAAGAGTAAGGAAATGAAGGGCCACGTAGGACAGGGAACCAGGGGCCGAAATGCAGAAGCCCTCGAAGGCCAAAACAAAGAGACCCTGAGGAGTCACTGAAGGTTTCTGAGTGGTCCCAGTATTTTAGGATGGCAGAGAATGGATCATAGCGGGAAGGGAAAAAAATTACAGGCAGAAGAGTTAGAAGAAGATAACAATAATCTTGGTTTGCCATGACAAGTATCTAGACAAAGGTGGCATGGTAGCCATGAAAACAAAGCGATGGAGGCTCCCTGCTGCCAAGCTCAGAACCAGCACTAAAAAGAGCTAAGTGGGTGCCCAAGGTTCAGGTTGAGGGTGAGGTAAGGAGCTGGCTGTCCTTCTTATCCTTTCTAATACAACCTTCATTAGCTGTGCTTGCACTCTAGCCACATCCAACACACCAAAAACACAATTTGGTGGACTTGTATTCAGTTGAATAGCTGTGCCCAAAGGGTAGTCATTGATGGACTGATGTTCAGCTGGAGGGAGGTTTTTAATATCAAGCCTCAGGGTTCTATCCTTGGTGGTGTCATAGTCAATACTTTTATCAATGACTTGGGTGAGGAAACAGATGGTATGCTAATCAAATTCTTGGATAGTATAAACCTGGAAAGGAGATCAAAGTCAAGATCCAAGAAGATTTCAATAGGCTGTAATGATGGGCCAAATCTAATAGGTTCAATTTAACTGAAACAGATTCAATAGTAAGTCCTGTGCTTAGGTTCAAAAGCTACTGTATAAAACTACTATAAATGGCTTAGTTAGATGCAATTTTAATGCAAGTGACATGGCCGCCCAATGTTCATTCACATTTTGGATGCATTAACAGACATGCCATGTCTCCAAAAAGAGAGAGGTAAGTCTGATTCCTGTACACGTCAGAGCACATCTGGAATATTTTGTTCATTGGTGCATCACACACTTAAAAGGACACTGACAAAAGTGGAAGGCTTCCAGAAAGCAGCAACCAGGCTGGAGAAATTATGACATGAGAGATGGTGGAAAGAAGTGAAGATCCTTTGGTGTAGCCAGTACATCAAAAACACACGGGGTGAGAGCAGGGCTAGAAGGGCATGATGGCTGCCAGGTGCAAGAAGAGCCAGGCTTACTCCGGCAGGTTCCAAAAAACAGGGCCTAGATTAGGGGAAAGAAGCTATAGGGAGGCAGATTGGGACTCCATATGAGCAATATCTTTTACATAATTAGAACTGTATAAAACAAACGGAATAGGCTGCCCTGAGAGGCAATGAGCTCCCATCACTAGTGGGATCCAGGAAGAGGCTGGGAAATTATGGAGATAATAAATACATCAGGTAGCAAATAAGAAAGAGATGACTTGGTGTGG